ATCATTTCCTCAGCTCTCTCCACCTGTAAAAATTGTTTCAACACTGACCTTGAATCTTCAAAATTAGCAGCATTCTTTTCCAAGAGTACTTGTATAAGGTTTTTAGACACTCTTCCAGTTCTGTTGTTCTCTGTTTCCATTAGTCATCCCAGTGCTACAGAGGAGTCAAAATCTGTGCTGGAAAGGGGGTTGGGTGGAGGTGGCCAGTGAAGGAGCAAAAGGGTACCAGGCTGGGAACCAGAAATTCAGAGTTTCCCTCTTGTTCTGCCGCTAACTGGCTTGGTGACCCCGAACAAATTAATTTACCGCTTTAGGCTGGTTTCCTCATCTATAAAATGAGCATTTTGACAAAAAAAAAAAAAATGTTTCCTTCTAGTTCCAAATTTTTTTTTCTAAACTTTGCTTTATGGGGTACTGGGGATTGAACCCAGGACCTTGTGCAAGCTAAGCTAAGCTAAGCTAAAGGCTGTACCACTGAGTTATACCCACCCCACATCTCCAAATATTTAATGATTCCTCCGGCTCAGCTTGTCTTGGCTTTGTTGTGGTCTTGTGCTGTCCTGGAGTTTGCATTGTGTTCTGCAGGAAGCTTTGTCTTCCAGATCTGTTTGCATATATTGATTATTACCTTGCGTTATCTAGCACCCATCTCTCCTCGTTCCCTATGAAAATAGTCAACAGCCATTCATACCTTTTTCACTGGAGCCAACCCAGTACCGGGAACCAGGATAGGTGCTGGGATTCAGGCACTAGACAGCTCACAGCTTAGAGAGCATCTCTATTAACACAGAGGATATAAGCCAGCAACACCTTGCGCTAGCAGAGTTTGGTCAACTGAACAGAGAATTGTAGTCGACATGTGGTGGAGAGGGGTGGGAGTGGGGGTTGGGGGGCGTGTTGAAGGAGGAGCTTCCCAAGATTGTGAGGGACCAAAAGGGGAGAATCCATAACTTCTCCCAACGTCCTCCATACCTTTCCTGACTAGATTCAAGATTCTCTCTTTCCTCCAGAAAATTCATTATTGCGGTATCTCAGTTTTTAAATCCAAGCTAAAGGCTGGTTTAAATGAATTTCTCAAAACTAAGAAATAAAGAAGATTGCCTGAGGACCTTGATTCAGGTTAACTGTAAGTTATTTTTACCAACGGGCCTGTGTGATGTTTAGTTGAGGATCCTAACCCACTTCACTCTTAGCAGGTGCTTTCTGGACGTCTGTAACCAAGCTCGGTCTTCATACAAAACCCAGCATGCCTCCGTGTGACTTCACACCTGAAAGATACCAGGTAAGAGTCAAAGGTTTAGGAAAAACCCAGGGAAGTGGTTCTTCCTGAGAAGGCTAAAGTAATTGTTTCCCCAAGAAAGACCCACAACAAATGGTCCTGCCTTCCACAGAGCCATCCACCTCAGATACCCTGTCCTTTAAATCACTGGGAGCATCTGAACTCTCTGACTCCATTCAGTGCTGTTGTGAGAGACGGTGTGCGAGAGAGATGGAGACAGAGGCAGAGATGGAGAGACACAACAGAGGGAGATGGAGAGTTCAAGGAACAGACTCTCCATGAAAATACATGTATCATAGGGACATAGGTATAGACACACACACGCAAATACACATATCACAAATTTGACGGCACACGTTTGCTTTAAAATGTTGTTTTTATTCTACCTCATATAACAATGCATGAGCTGACCTTCCTGAGTTCTCCACCAGAAAATATAAAGTTATCATTTTGTTCGCAGGCTAATAAATACTGAAATTGTTCCCCCCGCCAACTATGTCTCTCTCTCCAACCCCTTTATTCTATGAGATACTCGTAATTTAGAAATTGTAGAATCAGTAGAGTCAAGAGGGATCCATGACGAAGAGAGCTATAGGGCAGAGCTTAATAATTAAAGACACAAACACCACCAGTACTTTTTTTTAATTCTCAGAAAAAGCTACAGAGGAGAAAAAAAAAAACATTACTTCAGGTATTGACTTTCAAAGTCTTTTTTTTTTCACAGCTAAAATCAGCTCAAAGCCAAGACTTTCCACGGAGAGGTGGAAAATTCCAGCCCCCTTCTTCATGTTTGATCTAGAAAGCTACTGAAGGGCCACATTAGTAACTCCCCCACTTGACAGGAAGGCCTCGGTGTCTGTCCTGCTAGAAGGTCACCGGGCAAATAGCCACCCCAGTGAGCGAGGGCAGCAGCCCTGGGCTGGGTCGGTGGAAAGGCCAGGCCCTGCCTTGTAGACCTGCTGTGGATTTTGTATGAAATGGTAGGATAAGGAAAAGGAAGACTTTAAATCCTTCAATCTTGCCTACCAACAGTCCCTTGCCTACAGCCGAGTCCTGGAGATCCACAAGCAACATCTTTCTCCTGTGCCGACAGCATATTTCCCAACACCTCTGTTGCTCTCCCAGGGTCACATGGAGTGGCTCTTTGACTATGAGGGAAACAGATACCTGGATTTCTTTTCTGGGATCGTCACTGTCAGTGTTGGTCACTGCCACCCGTGAGTATCCTTAAAATTCTGAGATTTTGCACTCCAGAAGAATCTATGGAAAACAGGCTAATGACCACGTTAGTGATTCTAAATTTCTATTAAAAACTGTCTCTCCTTAGGCACATCCCAGTTTATGGTTGACACGCTCCCTGCTATTTTCCTGGGTGACAAAAAACAAAAATCCTTGACATTATCCTTTTCCTTCTCTTGACAATGCAAGATTTCATCATTCTCATTGCACATGCAGTGGGGTGTGTACCATGTGACGGGAGTGTTGGCTCTGTGTGTTCTTCTCAGTAGTAACATCTTCCAAAGAGGAAACGCACTGAGGGACAGGCAGAGAGGAAGGGAAAGGCTAGCGGTTCTCAGAGAGCACAGGGCGGGTGTGTGGGGTGGGGGGCAATGAGAGATGAGAAATCACTTCTAGACTGAGGGTCTTCTTCATCGACTCAGTGATGGAGAGGATAGAAAGGATGATAGCAGATGTAACTCCAGCTGGAAATTTACATCGGAAATGGATGACTCCGTTAGTCTTGAGATTTCCTGCAACCTTGATCATCAATCCACAGATGCCCTGGGCAGATGCTTCTGGGGTCCTTTCTGTTTTGGTGCAGCCACCTCATTTTAACATCTATTCTCACTTGCCTTCAGCAGTCTGGCCAGGAAAGCTCACATTAAGTGGGACAAAAATAAAGCAACAAGTCTAAATAAATGGAGTAGGTTCGGGCTCTTCTGTCAAAGCAGGTGCAAAGGGTCTTCTCTGCAAGCAGCTGTCAGGTGGTGAGGAGGGAGTTGTACCCGGGTCCAGCCCTCGCCTGTTCCTCCCATAGCCTTCTCCTTCCCATTTCCATCTTCAGGAGGCGCTAGTCCCATATGAAGTCGTGAGGAGCATGCAATGTAAATTTTAAATGCAATTTAAAGCATACGACAAACATGCATGAAAGAAGTAAAGAAAAATGAAGGACAGAAATTTTTTTAAATATTCACAATGATTCCTCCCAATAACATACCACTCTCACGACTTTGGTGCTTCTCCTGATCTCCCTTTGATCTTCCAGTCTGTCCCTCTGACCCTCTAACTCTGGGAGCCTCAGACTCTTTCCTGAGCCCCCCGCTTTTCTCTCTATACTCCCTTCATCTCTTATTATTCCCCCCCAGAATGGTCCCACCGCATCTCCCCACCTCTGCCCAGTTAACGGCTGCATTTTCGGCAGCCTTACCCAGCAGCCTTGGCCTCTCACCAAGCTGTGATAGTAGCTCTAAGACACCCGGGGTGGACACTAAAATGCCCCATATCTCTCACAGCCTCCGGGACACACCCTGCCCCATGATATTCCACCATCAGGAGAAATTCAGCATTACAGAGACCAAATCCACCATGCTCTCACAGTACTATTTCTATTCACGTATTCAAGGAGCACATATGAGCCACCTACTCTGTGAAAGTCCTTGCTAGGAGCTGAGGAGTTAACACAACTGGCTGTCCTTCTCAACCAATCCTGAGAGTTCCCCAGTATTACAGTCAAGAATATTGAAGTCATCTGTGACTCTTTTCTGCCTTTCGTTCCATATAACCAACCTGATACTAAGGTCTACTTCTCCCTCCATTGAAATGCCTCTTCTACCAGGCCCTCCCACTAATTCTCACTAACCCCAGTCTCCTAGCGTTACAAGGAAAAGGCAAATAAGAGTGACCTCAGTTCTTAGTCACCCGAAAAAAAAGAATTTTTAATGAGAGACAGAAAGCGTGACATAAGATTTTTATTAGTAAAGTAAAAAGATAATAAAAGATAGTACACTCCTGAGAACTGGAAACAGGCCAATCCGAGAGAGGAAAAATGGCAGCACTCCTTTGTTTTTCCTGTTTTTATATCCTGGCTTAGGGGCATTTTTACGATTGATTGATTGATTAATGGCTCAGGTTCTTTGAGTGATCAGGCTGATTGATAGCTCAGGTTCCTTGTGCTCAGGTTGACTGACAACTCAGATTCCTTGTGCCCTGGCACGCCCATCCCCTTTCGGGCAGGTTCATGGGTCAAGTTACCCCGGATCCTTCTCTTAGGTGCAGCTGCAGCGTTTTGATTTTAACTGGCTTCTTTTGCTGGCCCTCATTTAGGGAAAGTAAAAGTTTCTGGAGTCCCTTATCCTGAATGTAGACGTACTGTTATTTTCTTGGTTGGTTCCTCTCCCTCTGCCCAGTGCTCATTTCTTTCTAACTGCCTAACACTAGGAGCTCTTCTCTTCCCACACCCAGAAGCTACCATGCCCTCCTAGCTGTCCTCACTGTTACCAGTATCCCCGCTTCCATTCTACCCTCATGTGGCTCTCAGGTTTATTTTGCTAAACAATGCTCTTGTCAAGTGTCTCATCCACTTGAGAGCTTATTGATACTCCACAGTTCTAAAGTGAGTTCCATGGGACACCAAGCGCAGGAGAGGTTCATTGTTAAGGGTCTCACTAGAAAATAAGATTGGGAAACACTTTAAATTATCCTTCCTGGGGAAATACAGTATACGTTAACCTATTAAAGGTACTGACAAGTCCTGCAGTAAAGAAATCTGTTTGATCTGGTATTCCTCAAAATTGTTTAACCACTGAACTGATTTTGGGGGAGGGGGTGACAGCTATTAATAAATTAAATTAAATTAAATTAAACAGAATTGGTGTGTAACAGACTTTAGCAATTGCTGTCCTTTAGATTAAGTTCAAACACCATGGCCTGTCTTTTCAAGGCATGCCAAGTCAGGTCCCACATACTTAGCTACACTTAGCTCTTTCCCTCCCTCAATGTGAACCTTTGGCTCTTTCACAGAATGTGGTTACAGAATCTTCACCAACACTGACCACTTATTATACTGGACCCAAATATTGGAATCTTCTTTAAAGAAAAAAACTGTTCATCGTATATGAATGTATTTGATGGATCTATAATTCTTTAGAATAAAATGGGAAGACACCCAAGCTTAAGTTTAGTCGTCTCTATTTCCCTAACTGTTCAAAAGGTAGTTAGTAAGAAAACCTAGTTAGAAGAGATTGTAAATTCGAACTTCCTCCTACACTAAGAATGTCTTTTCTGAAGTCTCCAGCAGAGAATCATTTAGTCTCCTTATGAACACTTCCTTTGGTAAGGAATTCATGACCTTTTGAGGCAACTCATCCCATTGCCAGATACTTCTGGCAGTTAGAGAAACTTTTTCTTGTGTATGGATGAAATCAGCTTCTTGAAACTCTTGGAGAAACAGCCGTAGGTTTGAGCTCAATGGCCAGTGATGTGTTGGGAGGGACACGCCCGCTGCATGTGTGGTTAACTCGGCTCTCCCGTTCACCCAGGAAGGTGAACGCAGCGGCACAAAAGCAGATTGGCCGTCTGTGGCACACAAGTACCGTCTTCTTCCATCCTCCAATCCACGAATACGCAGAGAAGCTTTCAGCACTTCTTCCTGAGCCTCTGAAGGTATGATGCTCCCAGCTCACAGGGACAGGAGGCTCATGTTCCCCGGAAGCTGGCCTAGGAAGGGGGAGTATGGGCGGGGAATCTGGTCTGTGCATTGAACATCTGAAATGAGTGAGCTAGTAGCCATACTGAAAGCAACCAAGGAGAAGAAATAATTGAGGAACTGCTGGTGAAACCAGCCAGTGCGTACCTCATCAGCTCTAAGTGGCTGCCCCTCCTTGGTCACTCTCCTCGCCATCACGTCTTTGCAGAAATCACTCAGTGGGAGTCCCAGGCCTCCTGATCCTCCCCTCTCTGTTCCTCAGGAAGTTTCTGCCTCTTTGCTCCACAGCCCCTCTGCAAAGTCATCAGCATTTCTTCTTTAACAAAGATTGGAGCCATTTTTTAATAAAATTAATATACCATTCAGTTTATTTGGTCTGAGATGCAGTTAAATATTTTTGCCAAATGAGATGTTTTTCTGGATCTGAAATGACTGAATTTTTTTAACTGAATTGAGATGCAAAAATGTTGGCCAACGTTTGCGTTTCGGGATTCAGTGAGTTCATACATATATAGAGCAGTGTGCCGTACCCGGATCAGCTCTTACCATTATTTCACCATATTACTAGATGCATTATTTACTACATTATCTACAAGAGATGAAGGAAGTTGAAAGAGCTGCAACCCAAGTTCAGGGCAGGCAGGTTCAGGGAAGAGCTGATTCAGGGATGGCAGCCGGGGCACAAGGCAGCCGGGGCACAGCTCCTGCCCCCTGGTCCCCGAGCCTGGTACCCTTTTCTTTCAGCCAGGATAAGCTGCATTTTTGGTTTGCTTGCTTGTTTTTTCAGCATTCACACATGCTGAAGAGGCAGGCTGGGGTACACTCTGGGGCTCCAGGATTAGGGAGGCTGCTTGGTCCAAGCTTTCAAGATCAGGTGGGGTGGTTCAGGTTCAGGTTCAGGTTCAGGAGACAAGAGACCCAGTCCTCAGAGCCACTCAACCACTAACCACCGGATATCTCAGCAAGTCTCCCATCTTAGCATTCTGCAGGGCATCAAGCAAAGCCAATGAACATCCAGAATGTTTCACAACTGGGACAATCCCTTTGCCGTATTTGTATCTCTAGTGTTTAGCATCTGCTCAATAAAAAGCTGTAGAATTAATAGTAATTAAAAGATGGGACTGCTGGTCAGAAGGGAACTTCTTAATAATCAGAGGCTGGGACACACTGTCTTCAGCCATTTTGAATTAATTGGATAATAATGCATCTCACGGCCATGTCTTCTTTTTTTCTCCAGGTCATTTTCTTGGTAAACAGTGGCTCAGAAGCCAATGACCTAGCCATGCTGATGGCCAGAGCACATTCAAATAACACAGACATCATTTCTTTCAGGTAATCAATCTCATCTTGGAATGTTTAACTTTAGTAACATGGATTCATCCTGACATTAAAGGTTTATCTTTAAAATACAGCCTACAGAAGGTGAGGGGCTTCCCCAGGGTTTTTTGTTTTGTTTTGGTTTGGTTTTGGTTTTGGGTTTTTTTTTCTAATTTTAGGTTTTAGGGTAAGATCAGCCAAATGAATTTTATGGCTGAATAATGCAATCCAAATTGGCCTGATCCAGCATGGGGTCCCTGACTAAGATAACCAAGAGTTTGGAGTCCTAGTTATGTCATAGATCCTCTTATGGAATTCAAGAGAAGGTCATAAGATAGTTTTTAAACTTTTTTTTAATTGAAATATAGTCAGTTACAATGTGTCGATTTCTGGTGTAGAGAACAACATCTCAGTCATGCATACATATGTATTTGTTTTCATATTCTTTTTTATTAAAGGTTATTACAAGATATTGAATATAGTTCCCTGTGCTATACAGAAGAAATTTTGGGGTTTTTTAATCTATTTTTATATATAGTGGCTAACATTTGCAAATCTCAAACTCCCAAATTCACCCCTTCCCACTCCCTTTCTCCCAGTAACCGTAAGATTATTTACTATGGCTGCGAATCTGTTTCTGTTTTGTAGATGAGAGCTTTTTAACTTTGAAGATGTGGTATTGACTACAACATACACCAGGTGGTGAATTCTAGACCCCCAGAAGCTCATCACTTTGCCATGTGACGCTGGACCCACTTTAATCTCTCTTTATGATAAGGAGACATGTACTTATCTCATGGTGCTGGCTGCACCATTTTTCACCTTTTTTTTTTTTTTAAGTTCAGAGGATGCAGATCTAACCCTGTATATTTCTACTCCTTTGGGTGACTGTTGAGAATCAAATACATACACTTGATTTGGAAAGTTGCCAAAACTTATCTAAAACCAAGACTGGAGATTAGGATGACTTATATTAAATATGACTGTTTCAGGTTCAAAAGAAAACAAAACCTGTGTTTATTAGATTCAAGTAGGGTGGCTTATGAGACATGAAGAGAAGTCCGCAAAGATGGTGAGCAACAGCTGCATCACAGGAACAAATATTTGGCTTCTTAAAGGCAAACTGCTTTGCAGATTAATACTCATTGAGTATGTGATTTCTAGCATGTTGCTATGAGTCGCACTGCTTTGGAGTAACAGAGTAGAGCAAACCTAAGGTCAGAGTCCTTGGCCAGATGGTCTCCAAAATGTCTTTCACAATTTCAGACCAATGACACCAGTAGGGAAGATAAATAAGTAAACTCATTTGACACAGGCTTAGAAGATTTCTTAGCGATCGTTGGAGTCGCATATCAATAATGTTCTCTTTCACCTCTGTAGCCTTTGTGGATTTTCTTTTTCGTCCTACCCAGTGTTCCACAGACCAGGGATCGAAGGAAAATAAACATAACTTAGTCCTACCACCATTTTCTCCCTGCAGAGGCGCCTACCACGGGTGCAGTCCTTACACACTTGGCTTGACAAACGTGGGGCTCTTCAAGATGGAACTCCCCAGTGGGATGGGCTGCCAATCAGTAGGTCTTGAGATTTTGTCTTATTTCTCTGAGGTCTGCTGGGTGTGTGGAATCACTGATCAGATTTCCCAGGCATTAGGATTAGAAACTAATATAGAGCCTATAATTAATCAGGGGCTCAATTTGATATAATTGAATTAAAGACCATTTAAAAGAAATGTTTCTTAGACCTTCAGAGCCTGAGTAATAGTTAATGATAGAGATTTTTGTTGTTGTTTTGTTTCTAAGTAAAATCAGGTAAACTGCAAATAAATGCGTTGAAATAAGTTCTCGGAGCCTTGAATGCATAAAATTTCCATAGGGTCATCCTTGTTCTCACCTTCTGTTCTCACTCGCTATGGTCACCTTTCAGCATTAAAATCAGATACCTAATTATTCTTATTCTTTCAGATGCCCTTACTCACCAAACTCTTGAGCAAATTGTTTCCAGGCTGATACTGAAATCAGTTTCCTTTGTAGAGTGCCCACATAATTGATTTCCAAGAAAAGAATTCTCTCTTCAAAGCAGAATATTAGTTTTTTGTTCTAAGTCGAGGAAGAGTAGAGGAGGAATCTCAGTATCAAATTAAGAAGCCCTCTTGTCTTGATTGGTACCATATGCTGCCCCAAATTGACTGTCTTGGGTTCACATCTTGCCAAACTCCCTCTTTTGTCATTTGCAGACAATGTGCCCAGATGTTTTCCGTGGGCCCTGGGGAGGAAGCCACTGCCGAGATTCTCCAGTGCAAACCACTCGGAAATGCAGCTGTGCACCAGGTCCAACTGGGCAGGGAGGGAGGCACAGGGCCGAAGGTCAGGAGGGGTAAGGAATGTGGAGAAAGACAGAACTGTTCCTGAGTGAACAGATTTGAAAAAGTGGGAAAGGGAGAAGCCGAGAGAAACACAACTAGGAAGTCACCCCTCATTGAACCAACATCTCTTATGCCTTCAGCCACCATATGGTCAGAGCGTCCATCTCCTAGTAGGAAATGCACCCCGTGCTATCAGGGCTAAGCCAAAACCAGACTATCACCTGGTCCTTCATTAAAAGGGCTCTCTTACCTCTCTCAGCAATAACTCTGCTACCAATTTTAAAAGAAAACAAGTTTGGTGGGGATTATTTATCAAGTCCCAATGGAAGAAGGGGAAAGGGGAAAGAATGCTTTTAGCAATGTCAAAGCTGCAGCCGAGAAGCCCCCCTAGGGACTCAGAATACCAGCCAAGAGGAGAGCACTTGTCAAAACATAAGTCCTTTCTTGAAGGCTGCTGACATCCCTTCAAAAGTTGTGAAGACATTCTCACAAGGAAAGCATCTCTTTATCAGCCGCATTGTCATTTGCAGTCTTGACCACTTCTCACCCTGAGGGAGAGGAGGCACGGAGACAGCATCTGTTCTTTGCTAATCAGCAAGTCCCACCTCGTGCTTGTCATCACAGTGCAGGGCCCTTTGAAGGAAAGGACTAAATGCTCCAGCCAAGAAACTTTAATGGAACAGGGTGAGTCACGGAGCTGAATGCAAATGGAAACCTGAAAACTCAGCCCTGAAGGGAAAGACATTCACAGTCATCTGAAAATTCAGATGGGATAATGGCAAAACGGAGGTAGCAGGATGAAAGAATGAGCTTTAGAACAAGATGTCAGTCTCACAGAACCTAAAACCGTCAGGAAGTTTAGAGCTGTCTTTCAAACTCTCCATTTTAAAGATGAAGAAACAGAGGTCCACACCTAGGAAGCTGAGAGCTAGGACTTGACCCCAAGTCTTCTGACCCCAAAGCGCATGCCCCCTACCCAGGACCACCGTTGCTCACACTGGGGTGCCAGCCGGATGAACCCCAGCTTCAAAACGATTCCTGATCTGCTGGCCGGGATTGAGGAGACACACGAAGTCAGGAGACCTGGGTTGGACTCTCAGCCCTACCGTGGCTCAGCTGTGAGCAAAAGCCGCATCTTTTGCTTCTGTGTCTCTTCTGTGAAATGGAGACAGCAGTACCTACCCTCCCCGCACCCCACAGCTCCTGAATCCAGGCTCCCATGAGGCCAAGGGAGAGAGCTCTTTGTAGGGAGGGGCAGGCAGGAAACAGCAACACCAAGGACAGCCACGCCTGCGTTTCATTCCCACGCGGCATCGAGAACCAAACTCAGGTGGGTGCACCTCACAGACATCGACCGGACTGCAAAACCACCAGTGCAGAGCCTTGGAGGCAGGAGCCTCAAGCCCTGGTCATGTCCTTCCCTCCCGGCTCTTGTCCCTCTCTGCCTCCATCCTCCCTGCCTCCTCCCTCCTTGAGGCCTTCTCCCCAGCATCAGGCCGACATGAAAGTACCAGAACCCCAGTGTCATCTCTCTAGTGGCATCTGGAGGCTAAATGATCACGACAGACATCCCTGCTTCTTGGAGCCATGGTCTTTGGCACAACTGAATTCAGCTGTTTTCTTAACTCGTATCTTCAAGAGACAAGACAAATAGCCTATCTTTATACAAACAGGGACTCCAGCCTCCTCTAGTGCTGTTAGGGCCTGAGAAGAGTTTGGCCTTTGTTGTAAAAAGGCACATTCATATCTGTTTACAAATGCAGCCCCATGTGTAAATTACTCTGAGTGTGGAAGTTTCTGGTTCTCAATTCCTCTTAGAGGTCATTCACTGGGCACAAACAAGTGCCATTTTTGGTAAGGGGCTCTTTTTTCACCTCAGAAGTATGTCATCACCCCCTCAGAGGGTCCATTTTTGAGCCAAATATAGATGTTTATGTGGTAGATTTCATTCTCTTCCTCCATCCCCTTCTTGGAATTTTTTTCTTTCCAAGTGTTCATTGCAGTGCCTGAATTTCAGATGTAACCTGTGATGAAACGCACTTCTCAACACCCACTGCCCCCACAATGTCCCAAACCTGGTGCTGATCATGTCATTTCTTTTCTTCCTTTTGCAAGACAAGTTGCCTTTTCCTTAAAAAACTTTTTTCTTCTTGGCTCCTCAGTCTGCTTAACTCTTGCTATATGACCAGCTGGAGTAAAAGTGCTTCCATCTCTACTCTGTTGTTTGGAGAGCATCCAGGAGAGCATCTTTGCCCCCATGAAGTTGTCATGGTAACACCACTGCACCAAGTCTCTCCCCAGAGGTGGCCTGATCTGGAGTTACAGCAATGAGCTAATGAAAGAAATGAAGGAAAAAGCCGATGACAGTTGATGACCTCTCTCACCACTGAACTTGTGGGAAGTAGGGGGGAAATCCTGAAAGGTCTAGCACAGGTCCAAGCAAAACCTTCTTCATGGTTCAGTTTTGTCCAAATGTAAGTCATCAGGGTTGATTTGGCTCCACCTTTGATTTCTCTAGTTACAAATGAGTTTGCTAAATTCCCAAATTATGTCTTTTGAACATATGTCTCATCTATCCCTTAGGGTCATTTTACGTTTTTTTTCTCGTCCCTTCTTAATAAAAATAGGACATTTCAGTCTCTAGGGGCATAGGTTTATTTGTCTACCATATCCTGCCCATCAAACAACGTGAGTGATGCTAAAAAACAAAATGCGCCTTCTGGGGTTGGTATTCAGTTCATTACTTCCTTCTTCAAACCCCCAATCCTCAGTTTCAACTAAGATCAGCTACCACTGTCAATCAAGCTTTCCCAAACATCACATGTAGCTTAAAAGTATGTTCAGGGCTAGGTAGTGTTTTCCCCACTTTTTAATGAAGATCCAAAGTATAAAATATATTTACACTTCCTTTTTTATGGTGATGACTGAAAGATTCTATTCCTTATGTCCAGCCTTCAGGTGACAGGGCTACATCCTTACCTCTAAGGTAAGGCATCATGATGGTAGACGCTTTCACTGTCACTGGGGCCAGGGACCCCCATCATCTCTCGCTCAGCATCCCTTCTGCCGTCCATGGATATGGGTGTGGTGCTGTTTAGAACCCAGTTACAGGTGTGGAGACCACTTCTGAAGCTTCAGTCATATGCGGATGCAGTAGATCTGGGACCTTGGGTATTCCAGAGGAGAAAGCTTCCTCTCCCTGGCTACAATGGGTGAAAGTTATCTGACTGTAATCCATTTTAGACTGAGTTCCAATTTTTCTATAAACATATTTACTAATTATAAAGACTGAGATACTTTGTAGCTTTAAAATTGTACATCAGATTAAGTGGCAATAAAACGTAAGTAGAGTTGTCTCTGAATAGATTAAATCCACACACCAATTACATCTGAATTAAATCTACCCAGTGGAGAGGATCCGTATCCTTAAGTGAAACAGCTGTCTATACACCAGCCTCAGTGGTACTTTGGGGCATGGCTTCTGGATGGAAACGACTGAAGTGGTTTGTTTATCCCTTTATGGCTACACGAGTCTTGCTGCTCGAACCAAAGTACAGGCCCTCCTGACAGAACGTTCCTCCTTCAGAAACGTACATCCTCATGTCCTGGTTTACTGTATCCTGAGGGACTGGTCAATTTATTATCGTGTTTTCTCTTTTTTTCCCATGTTTTCCCTCGTTCTTCCGAATGCCATTCTCAAATCTTCAAATGCTGTGTTCTGTTTGTTTGTTTTGTTGTTTGTTGCAGGCTGCTGCCAAGCTAAAGACCAGTACATTGAACAATTCAAAGATACTCTGAGCACTTCTGTGGCCAAATCAATTGCTGGATTTTTTGCGGAGCCGATTCAAGTGAGTGTATTAACTTCAAACACTGAGCTCAGTTTAAAGTGATCAGAGAGTTTTAACCCATACGTGCTAGAGAATTCCAAACTATCTGAGTGACCTTGCTAAGTCCCTCATCAAACTCAGTTCATTCTCTTGGTCTCCTTGGAAAAAGAGAGCCTCTGATTTTTAATTGAAAATTGAATGGCTTTAAAAAACCATCCCCTGTTTTCCCAGATCAAACAGAGAGACAGAGGGACCTACTGAATTCCTAAAATTCTATAAGAAAAGAAAACCCCAGTGGTATTTAGTTGTCTAGCATACACACTGTCACAGGGAGCCTTTCTATAATCACACTAAATCCCCTTAACCTGCTTTTTTCCTAATCTCAGGAAAGAATACATTTGCAACCATCCAGAAGATGTAAGAGTAATGGCCTCTGTTTTCACCCGTAGCTGAAGCAGTTCTAGCGACTGTTTTAAAAATTGCTAGTGTTACTAATGATGAGCATGAGCTAGCTTCCTTTTTTTTTTAATACTTTCAAGGGTTGTGCTGTTATCATAGGGCTTCTTGGTTTGGTCTTTTACAGGGGGTGAATGGAGTTGTTCAGTACCCCAAGGGATTTCTAACGGAAGCCTTCGAGCTGGTGCGAGAGCGGGGAGGCGTGTGCATTGCGGATGAAGTGAGTGGTCATGGAATAGGTGCCGTGTAGTGAGGCCGGGACAGGAAAAGTACAGGGAGAAACTGCTTTAAACCCTCCTCTGTGGTCCAGGCAGAAAGCATCCACAGTGGAAATTCCAAGACGTGGGTGTAAGTTAATGAAGCTTTTCCTAGTTGACTGGTTAGTTTGTTAGTGGATTAGTTGGTCCATTTAAACAAGGACAACAGAACTTAAACATCCACAATGAAGACCATCAGATAAGTTGCAAACAGGCATCGGTAAATGCTGCCATTACTCCACATGGAAAATTCCTACTTGGGGAGTGCATCAGGGACAGCTTAAATGTTATCAAATCTCATAACCAATATTCATCCTAATTTTTGCCAGAATAATATTAACCAGCTTGGTGGCATTCATTTTACCTTAATAACAAAACTTGTTTGGAAATGACAGTAAAAAGGAAGAAAAAAAATCCAGCCTCTACGTTAGAAGTGGGTCACCATCACAGATATTCAAAAACTAGTTCCAAAAAAAAAAATTATAAAATAGCTTGAGTTAAGGTAACATTTTTGGATATAGCACCTCTAGGGGACACTGAAGGGAATAAAATCCCTGGCTCCGTCAACTCCAGCCTGTGTCTTTCCTAAAGGGATTAATTTCCATTATAATCACACCTTGTACTGGAGTGCGTCAAAGAAAGCAGTCGTTTACCTCCTAAGAATAGCAATGGAGATGGAAAGACGGGAGGCTGGCCACCAGGGCCTCCGAAGTGGTCCCGGCTCATTTCTGGGTGACCCACCATGAGTCTACTAACCGGTGGTTAGACCCCCAAGAACAGGTAGAGACCTTGTATGATTTATATCCATTTCAGTCCTGCCAGCTTTGCCTGGACAGTTTTTCTCAACTAAAACTTTCCTCAGAGAGGACATTGGGCTGTCCCCTTAGCAGAATTCTTTCGCAGTTTCTTTCACATGCAGCCAGGTGTCTGTGATCCCCACGATGGCTGGACAGCCCCTGGTGCCCTGCACGTGGAAGCGTGTGTGGTCCGGCTCCTCCTGCCCCTCCTCCCTTCCCCCACCTGCCCGTACCAGTTTAGGGAATGTGAACCAATCGAAGTCCTGACAAAAGTTAACCTGCTGTTAAAACAAGAAAAAAAGTATATTCAGCCAGTCAGTTTACAATCAGCCCCATTGGTGAAGAGAATAAACTCTAACTTTTGGAAGCAGCACAGAATGAAGCTGCCACCGTTGGATTAATTAGGGGGAAGGTGGACTGAATTCAAAGAAAATAATGGATCTCAGAATTTCCTGTGATATGTGTTTTTACCATTTTCAAGAACCTAAATGGAAACTAACAAAGGGTGACCTTCAGAAGGACTGTCCTAATGACTAGATAAAGAACAGCTAGAACCTTCTGGTGTGCAGGCATTGTTTATAATGCTTAGTCTGTGTTAACTCAGTCAGTGCTCATAGCAATTCTATAAGGTTTGTCCTGTTGTCACCATGCCCATTTTACAGATGAGTGAATTTAAGTCCCAGATGGTTAATTTACCTGTCAAGATCATGCAGTGTATAGGGACAGAGCCAGAACTCAAATCCAGACTCCAACACCACACTAACCACTGGGAAAACTTGCCTCTCAAGAATGAGGGAACAGTGGTGCAGAAAGACAAAGGATGGCAGAAAATGCTGGAGCAGATGAAGAACTTGAGTGCAGGGCCAGTGCTGCCACCCAGTGATCATACATGTCATTTTAGTGAGCTAGCCTTGGCTTCCTCTTCCTTATTTTTTAAATTTTTTTTTAACTGAAACACAGTCAATTACAACGTGTCAGTCTCTGGCGTACAGCACACAATGTCCCAGTCATGCATATACATACATATATTCGTTTTCATATTTTTTTCCATTAAAGGTTATTACAAGATATTGAGCATAGTTCCCTGTGCTATACAAAAGGAACTTTTTAAAATCTATTTTTATATATAGTGGCTAACATTTATAAATCTCAAACTTCCAAATGTATCCCTTCCCACCCCCTTTCCCCGGTAACCATAAGATTGTTTACTACATCTGAGAGTCTGTTTCTGTTTTGTAGATGAGTTCATAGTATTCTGGCTCAGCTGGGCCCTCCTCATGACTAATTCTCAGGAAGAAAGGGACATCAAAGGGAAGAGAGTAACCAGCCTATCTGGCCCGGGTGGCGGGTGCCCCAGCGCCAATCTGCTTGCTGTAACCCTGGATTCATCCAGCCTGAGGCAAACGTAGCTTCCCCACCCTTCACCCCTATACACAGGAGATCCTTATTAAGGATTATTAATCATCATGATCTTTTTCACATGCATTGTCTATATAGCCCTCGCAGCAGCCCTGGGACATACTGCTTTTAGTGTTTCCATTCAACAGAGTTAACATAGGTCCAGAGAACTTAAGAAATGTGTCTATAGTCACACAATGCTAGTAAATGGCTCCTGGTGCCTAAAAGCTCAGGCACAGATTAAGTGGTTTGTTTGGAACAGTACAAGGATTAAGTGATGAAGATGGCTGGTGATAATGATATTAAGGAGGAGGAGGAGATGGAAGAGGAAAGAGAAGAGACCAAGGAGCCAGGAAAACCAACACTTCTTGAAACGTTTCCAGTGACTTTGGATTTGTTCCCATCAGGTGCAGACAGGATTTGGAAGGTTGGGCTCTCACTTCTGGGGCTTCCAAACCCATGACGTCCTGCCGGATATTGTCACCATGGCCAAAGGGATCGGGAATGGCTTTCCCATGGCAGCAGTTGTGACAACTCCAGGTGGGAACTACGGGCAGCTTGTGCCTGCTTCTGGGTCTCCTACATCAGCAATGGTAGAAAGCATGTGTACTGGGACTTGTGTGCGTTGGAGACAGTGATGGGAACTACACACGCACTTCCTAAGCAGTGGAAAGGGGAAACTGTCTGTCTGCCAGAGTGTGGAAGACGTGGAAGAAAAGTAGCCCTTTTTGCTCTTGCTGCAGGGAAGACTAATTCTCCCACCCCCATGATGAAACGCAGGGTTCTTCCACACCGACAGGGTCTAGGAAAACGTGCCGCAAAGACAAAACCAACAGGAGAGATCCTCGTTAACCAACCAGAAGCCAGCCCTCAAGTTTCCGAGGGAGTCATATCCTTGAAGGAGACTCTGACTTGGTCTTGCCACACTGATAAGCTATGAACACAAGGTCTGGAGTGACAGTTTTCTCTGTTGATCATCCACAGAACAGCTAAATACAGTACAATCTCACTTAACCAGAACATTCTATAAATTGAACATTAGAATTAGCTGTATTTCCCATTTCAGGGAGGTTTTACAGAAAACAATTTTATGAAATGTTTATTGTTGAAAACCTTAAAATTACTTCGTTTGTTTTCCCCACCATAGCAGGCACACTTCAGAGGCTCTAAAGGGTGATTAAGTGCCTGGTACTATCTCAGTGTTTTAATTGAATGCATAAAGGTGCTAAAATGTGGATGTAGAAGGTGAAGTATAATGAATATAACATAATGAAGAATATATTCATATACTCACCCTGAAACAGTCCAGAAATTATGTTACTAAACCCTCGAGGTGATATTTTTCAAAAATATTTCCTTCTTAGTCTCAAGAGTGGAATACAGGAAAAAGGTTTAGCTAATGAAGGTTCCATGTAAATTCCCATGAATCAAGTTTTAAGGTACTTTTCAATTCACACAACACATTAAAGATTTTGTTATCAAACGTCTCACTGAGTAAATAGGCAATTTTTCCTTAGTCACTGTATTAGTCAGATTGGGCTACCATAACAAGATATCACAGGCTGGATGACTTACTTAAACAACAGACATTTATTTTCTCAGCGTTCTGGAGGCTGGAAGTCCAAGACCAAGGTTCCAGCAGGGCTGGGTTCTGGTGAGACCTCTCTTGTAGATGACCACCTTCTTCCTGTGTCCCCACAAGTCTTTTTCCACCGAGAAAGGCTCTGGTGTCTCTTCTTCTTATGAGGACACCAATCCTATTAGATTAGGGCCCCACCCTTATGACCTTATTGATTATTTTCCTCCCTAAATGTGCTATCTCCAATTACACTGACATCTCCAATTATACTCACATAACATTCACTATCTGGAGAGTGAAGAACGAATTGGATGTGATGCCATGAAATATATTAAACATACATGCACAACATGAAAGTAAATATAGTCCAGATGACATGATGGGAGATTATAGATAGGGGTGTGTCACTCTATATCCATCTTTTATTTTCTCCCCTAGAGATTGCCAAGTCTTTGGCTAGACGCCTGCATCATTTCAACACCTTTGGCGGGAACCCCATGGCCTGTGCCATTGGATCAGCAGTGCTTGAGGTAATTCCATCACTCATTCCACAAAAAGACTGCTCCAAAGCTACACACCCATTGGCAGAACTCTATCACATCGAATTATTAAAGTGAAGTCTTAATTACTAGTCTGTGAATTTAAGTTAGATTTCCAGTTATTATTCTGCCCTTTCCCCCTCTTTTTAAGATCTACTGTGAGAGCTTAACGTCTTGGATATGAAGTAATATATAATAAACCTCACAGACACAGGAAATATAAGAATTCCCCTGGCTAGCTGGTAGCACTGAAATTTCTTTGTGAGTTGAGTGGTATTTTATGGATGGTTACCAATGGCTGTCCTTGATTTCAGTTGAATTTTGGCCCTGACTTGTCTAGTCTTCCTTACTTTTGCTGTACCGTCATAAATTAAAGGACTAGAGAGCAAGTGAGTTCCATGCAATTACTCTCAGGTGATTCAGCTGTTTTTCAGCCCCAGGCCACTGATTTTGCCTGGGGTCTCAGCTGTTGAAAAAGATTTAAATGCCTTTGCTAACATGCATAATAGCATTTGCTTAAATGAGCACAACTATTTCTGGAAGAATGTTTGAGAAATTCATCGCAGTGGTTGTTTGTAAAGAGGGAAACTTGGTGGCTAGGGGACAGGGGTCAGCGAGGCTCTTTCTTCTCTACACTTCCGTACTTTCTGATGTTTGAAATAGGTACATGATTCATTTATTCAAAAAATTAAATTTAAAAGTAAGGAAAGGCTGCCCTTGCTAGTTAAAAAGTATTTTCAAATATGATAAAATCTTGAAATGAGAAAACGTGGGTAGGGATGTGTTATTTATTTCATTTTCTAGACATTGCCAGCTTACTTTTTTTAAGTGCTGTGTCACCTCAACCAATTTAGAAGATAGAGAGGATTTAGATAAACAAATAATTCTTAAAAACATGAAGTTCTGTCTGGAGTCATGCAACCATTATCAGCTAGATATAAATGTAGGACACTGCACGAATCTGTCAAGAGTCACAAGGCTCTGCTGTGGGTGGAAGTAGGTGAAAATCCTTTTGTATCTTCAGGTGCCCTGACTCTGGGCCCACACAGAGCTCAACACTGAGAACTGTCTCCTGTTTTTCCTCAGTTTTTACCCAACCCTCAAGATAAGGGAGATACAGAGGAAGCATCCCCTCTGCCAAGACTTAGGACCACACTAGACTTTGAGTTCTATTGGTCTGGTACCGATTTTGTAAAGAGGGTCACGTGCATTTATTTCTCTCTGTTTCTGTCAAGTTTAAAACTTTTTTTAATGCAAGGTCATTTGGGGCTTCCTCTTAACAGGTGATTAAAGAAGAAAACCTGCAAGAAAACAGCCAAGAAGTGGGCACCTATATGCTACTGAAGTTTGCTAAGCTGCGGGATGAATTTGAAATTGTTGGAGATGTCCGAGGCAAAGGGCTCATGGTAGGAATAGAAATGGTGAAGGACAAGGTAGGTTCTGACCTGCTGCTCTCTCTGCCACTTCTTGGGGGCAGCAAGAGTTAAAGCAGGACCCCTCGGTCATTCTTTCTCAGCGAGAGAGCACACAAGGACTGCAAGGCTCAGCCAGGAGGAGTTAGGGATGAGCAGAGACGGGTGGGTATGAAGCAAAGGCTAGCATGCCATCAAGAGTTCTAGAGGAGTGAGGAAGAGCATTGGGAAGAGGGAGCTGATGCCATGCCTGCCAGACTAGGCAAAGGGCATCGGTGATGACTGAATATTTTGAGTTAGAAACATTAGGAAGGGAGGAAGTTGTCTGAGGAGGAGCAGGTGATCCAGAGAGCTCATGGAAGTAAGAGAGAAGGGCCAGGAGAAGGTTGTGGTGATGGTTCGGGGTGAGGATGATAAAAATCTATAGGGTTTTCTATTTGTTTGTTTGTGAATGGACTTCAGTCTCCCAAGTAGCCAGGGAGGAACGTGACCTCCTGATGACGTCACCACTGTGATGTCAGACTGAAATGACCACAGGTGAATTTAGCATTTTCCCTCAAGCCAGTTATTCTTCCCAAGTTCACTGTTTGTGTTACACCCTCCACCCTCCTCCCAATTCCTCAGCCTCAAAAGCACAAAATAATCTGTGGCTCCTTCTCTCCCCTTATTTCTAATGTCAAGTCCTGTTGAGTCTTTCCTTGCCATGTTTCTCAGATCTTTTCCACTGCTTCTACTGCTGCCCCTGAGGTCCACGGTAGTAGGAAATTGCCCCAATCCTCTGTCAAAACAAAGCCAAGATCCTCTGGGGAGAGTGACAGAGAGGGATCTCGGCACAGGGAGAGGTAGTCAGACCAGCCGCTTTACCCTAACTCCTGTGCGGGGAGACCCCGCTTTCCCTTTGGTGACTGCTTGCTGTTTGATCTCACCACATCACCCTAGTTTAGAAGGACTGATGCTCAATTCTTTCAATACTCAGACCAGACCATGGATATAAGACTCTCCTATTAATACCACACAGCACAGTCAGTACAAAGCTGGGATGCTTTAAACAAGACTTAAAAAATCAGGGATAGAGTGCATGCCTAGTATGCCTGAGGTCCTGGGTTCATTAAAAAAAATGAATAACCTAATTACCTGCCCCCCAAAAAGATGAAATAAATAAATAAATAAAAATATAAAGGTTTTTTTAAAAATTAAAAAATCAGGGAAAACAATAGGAAAATAAGAGTGTTATGAGACTAGACCCTCTGGCTAGTAACAGCCGTAACATAGTTATCCTCAGCTTGAGGCCCCATCCAGGGCTGTTTTAAGGCTCAGAAGAGTCCATCCTAGTCCCCCGACCCAGGAGATCCCTCGAGGACATCTAGACTCCTCAGAGTCCAGACTCCTCCAAGGAAAGCCCACAAGAGAAGAGAGGGTCCTCCCTTCCCACTAATCCAGACCCAACCTCCGTGTGCTCGAAGACATATGAACAGAGATGTCCATCGAACTTGATTTGTCATGGTGAAACATCAGAATCCTCCTGTATGGCCGTGGATGTAGAACAAGCTAGACCGTGATACGTTCATACTACATGGCGTAGAAATATATGTGACACGGAAAGATGTGCAAAGTGTATGGTGGGAAAAATGAAACAGGCTATGAACTGATACGTGTAGAATGAGCTGTTTCCTCTTCCCGCTGCCCTCTGGTGGCTGCGGGCATGGGCTCTGAAGGAGCGTCCCCATCCCTTACTTCTATGCATTGTCCCTCAAGGCTGTTCACTTTCCCACTTCCAACTATTGCTCAGACTTTTCTCCAAGCAGGGGACACAGCCTCTCCTCTCTGTGTCTACCTACCTACAGGAATCCTCTCCTTTTTCAGGATCCAGCTCTTCATCACACCTCCTGTCTAAAGCTGGCCTTTCCTTCTCCCCTGGGGCTCCAGCCTTCAAAGAGTCCCTCCAGCACTCACTGTCTAAAGAGCTCCTTTGAAAGGATCATTCAAATAAGTCATGTATTTGCTGACTCAGTTTTCATGTATAAACATCTTCTCCTAAATAAATCGTACACTTTTGAGGCCAGGAAATATGCAGGTGGTGAGTGCTTTATAAGTGTTCATGTTGATTGACTTCAGGCCCCTGCAGCACTTCAGACCACGTTCATATAATTATAACAGCTCAAAACTTGGGTCTAATGCTGCCCAGCATAGCCCAAAATCAAAACTCCATGTGCTGTTGGTGAGGATGTGAATTGGTACAGCTCTTTGGAAAGAAATTTGTCTGTATCTACCAAAAAAATTTTTTTTTCCTTTTTTGGGAGCAAATGTGTACATTGAATTTGCATAAATTAAATGCACTTAGAGATGTAACTTCAGTGTCAACAGCAGCTTTTTCCACCATCACAAGGGAACCAAATTCTTCCCATCTAGAACTGTCACGGAGGGTTTCTGAGGCATGTCCTGTAAGGAGCGAATGCCCCATGGCCACCCTTCCCACAGGAGTAGGACATGGAGACATTTTGACCTAACAATTCTACTTCTAGAGATGTGTCCTAAGGAAATGCTCACAGAAGTGTGTAAAGATAGATGTGAGCAGGGATGTTTGCACCATTATTTATAATCACAAACAAAAACTTGAAAACAACATAAATGCCCAACAATAAGAGATTAAACAAATCTCTACCAACAAACAACAAAATACTGAGTAATCTTTAAGAAGGCACTGACATGGAAAGATGTTTGAGACACATTATAAATTTTTCAAAGCAAATTGCAAAAGATTATAAAGTACCACTTATTTTTTAAATATGTGTATAAGTGTATTTGCATACACAGAAAAGGTGTCTAGTGCACACCAAATTACCAACAGGCAGTGTCCCTAGAAGTGGGATCCAAGGAGGGGAAATTTTCCGTCTTTACTTCGTGTATTTCCATATTGCTTTAAGAGGTTTTCCCCAGTATCTGTAGATTATTTTTATAATTGTTTAAATGCAGGCTTACCCCTTCAAAAAAAAGCCAAGAAACAAAATACGTAAACACAAAAGTACATTATACCCACAAGAAGAGGTCAATTACACACAGGACCTGGGTAGGCTGTCCTGTGGTTTTGCCTCGTTTGATTTCCCATGAGATGCATACAAGATGCTCAGTTAGAGCAGTGGAGGCCAGGGAGTGATAAGATAGCCAAAGGGGCAGGGAGGATGCTGGATCAGACCAGGGTAGGGCCGAGCAAGTCCACCTCTCCAAACCCTTGATATCCACCAAGACCCCACCAATCCCACCGGCCCTTGAGCACCCTTTCCGGACAGTGCTGGGACCCCTCTGACCCTCTGACCTCTTGTCCCCCAAACCATATCTGCGTTCTTCCCAGATCTCACAGCTTAGCCCCGGGTGATTTTGCTGTATTTTCATCTTCTCTCTCTAACGGATGAGAAGCCCGGGGGCAGGCAGGAGTGCGTGATGACATTTTATCCTCAGTGAGAAGACTGTAGTCTTCCGCGCCATCCCAGTTCCTCCCTTTGCTAGTAGCCTGAAAGTTTGAGTAGTATTTTCCTTATCTTAAAGCTTCTCAGCAGGTAAAGAACGCAAACATCTCTGGCGGTCCAGTTTGATTCTGTGCCGGTACACTGACACCTAACCAGGAATGAAGGATTGGGGGCTGGTGGGGGAGGGGCGTGGGTACCACAGCCCAGAGAGAGGGCAGGTAGGAAGCCCTGAGCAGAAGAATGAAGCTGGGAGCACCAGAGGGAGCCCTCCTCCACCTCACAAGGATCGCTGGGACTGGCCGTGAGCCAGGATCAGGCCTCATGTGTTTGAAACCAGAGAGCCAGGCCGGGCGCTGCTGCTCACAGACGTGCTGCAGAGAGACCAGCTGCCGCGATGGCACCCAGCGCTCACTGCTCACTGGTGCTCAGCCCGCTCACCTGAAGAGCATTTTACAAACCCATATGCCCAAGCCCTGCCCCAAATATTCTAATGCCATTGGCCTGTCACAGGGCCTAAATATCTGTAGTTGAAAAAGGCTTCCAAGTAACACAGACACTAAGTCAGACTTGCAACGCTAGGAGGAGTGTTTGTCACAGACTCAGAAGTCCCCGAGGCCAGTGTCATCAGAGCAGTCTTAAGTAGAGAACAGCTCCTGATGCCTAGCGACCCAAAACACCCTCTGGGCTCCAGAAACGCCTACCTTTCCTGATCCTGGGGGACTAAGTCTCGGGTGAGAAAGAGCAAATTCCACAAGCAGAGAAGGTGAGGACAAACAGTCCCACGCCTGGGACATGCTGTAGCCCAGGGAAAGCTTGGCCCATTCATGCCTTTGTGCAACTTCTGAGCCATTTCCTGGACTTTAAAATGAGCTCTTTACACGAACAAAACAAAGTGAAGAGTTGAGGACACTTTCCATATAAATAAAGCAGACTCCAAAGACGGCCATTCAAGAACCAAGTTCCCAGGGTAACCATTGGCAGGGCCAAGATTCACTGGCGATCTGCATTCAAATTCATCTTGTCTTTGGGAATTTGGGATGAACTGGAATAAAAACAAATATTTTTAATAACACCCACCCCCAACAAAAAAAAACCTGATCCAGCAATTAGCAGCTTTATTCAATTACGGGGGAGAGAGAGATTGAGAGAGAAGAGCATTGATTGCTTGAGTTGCTTTTTATTTCTCTTGGAAATAATGTCTTTAATCATTCAAATGCCAAATATAAAAAAAAATTTTAATATATATACAGGCGAGCCGCCAGCCTCTTCCCTGTGAAGAAGTAAATCAAATCCACCAGGACTGCAAATACATGGGGCTTCTCATTGGCAGAGGCGGCATTTTTTCTCAGGTAAGAAAAAGGCTGATCTTTACCTATCACTTTAAGTAGGTGCCTCCCTGTTGTCCTAATGCTGGTCCTTTTACTTCGCCACTATGCTAGGGGACCCAGTTCCACCTCGTTTCGGTTTTAGTGCGCAGGTATTAAAAAAGAAAAAGAAAAAGATAGTGATGCCATTAGGCCACGAGGGGGCGCTGTGTCTAAATAGTTTGGTTACTGCGGTTCTGTGGGGAATAAACACAGATTAACAGTCTAACAAGGCAGAAATCGGCCGTACAGACAAGCTAAAGGGCTTACAGGATAGGTCATAATAGTGTCATAACGGTCATGCCTAAGAAGTTTTGTCTCATGTATGAATTAGCTTTAACCTCTGTAAGAGCGAGCCTGGTCGTTTTTAATTCAGCCCTGGGCTCTGACCTCATGAACCCCAAGCCTGCTAAGCCTTAGTGGCCCCCGTGGCCAGGAGCAACGTAATAGCGCTGGCAGGCCCGGGGGACTGCAGGAGAGGTGGGGGCTGAGTCCCACATGCAGAACTCAAAGTCAGCCACTCCCAGTGCTCTGCACCCTCGGGCGGGGAGAGGCGGAGATCAATCTCTCCCTGCCCCACTCCTGGGAAAACCAAGTCCAGCTCCACCATCGGGGCCCAGCGTGGCCCTGCCCCTGGGCACGGGCTGCTACTGCTTCTATAAGGAGATCTGCTCCTCAACCCCTTACACCAGCAGGACCCTCTCCAGGGATTAGCCCCGGGGCAGAGATTTAAGATTTAGGGTGACATCTGCTCCTCCCCTGATTTGTTTTTTGGCCTTTGTCATCTTTTTTTCTCATTTTAAACATAAGTCATTCTCCCCAGTTCCTCGGTTCCAGCCCTGCCTCTCCCTCTATGTCAGTGAACACTCTTGCCTCATTCTTCTCAGAGAAAGTGGAAGCTACTAGCTAAGGTATCTCATGAGCTCATCTGTCCCCAGAGCCACTTCTTACCTCTTTTCCTAAAGGTTCAGAGAGTTAGACATCTCTCCTGTTCAGACCTACATCTTCCACCCACGCTCCTGACCCTCGACCCTCCCTCCCTTTAAGAAAACAGACCTGTGTCCTCTCGTATCTGCAGCTTTTCCTCAGCTTCCCCTCAGCCTGTAAACAGGTAGACTTAAAGTTCTCCCAGCCCAAACCAAACCACAGTAAACAAAACCAGAATGGGCACTTTTGCTGGGACATACTCGATGAGTCTTTTCTAGTCCTGGTCACAGATACTTTTCTGCACAGATCAGACAGAGTAATTTAATGATGAAAAATCCGGAGACAGGCAACTTATAAAGACAGAAAATAATGAATTGTTTACTTGCTTAGTTATTCCTTAGTTCTCTGGCGGCACACACTCAAGTACTAAGCAGCAGTTGCTAAGCTGGGTCCTAGATAAATAAGATCTGTCCCTCTCTTCCTGGAGCTGGCAGAAGAGAGAGACGTAAACAGAAAATCATAATACAAAATAGGAAGCTTATCTATAGCCATAAAAAGGAATATTAGAGGAGGAAAGAACAGGGACTCCTAGGCCAGTCTTTCTGGCTAAGCTAAGCCTTAAAGAATGAGGTAAATACTCAAAGCACGTGCAGAAACACAGCAGCGTGCAAAGGGCTACACGCACACTGATTGGCTGGACCAGGAGCCTGGGGGCACTGAGTGGTAATGGTAAGAAGCCTTACTACTTGTCAGACTCTGTTCTAAACACTTTGCATGTATTGACTCATTTAATGCTCTCAACAAGCCTATGAAATAAGTACTATTATTATCCTTGTTTTACACATGGAAAAAAAAGGCACAGAGAGGTTAAGTGAATTGCCCAAGTCACACAGCTAGTAAGTGGCAAAGCCAGGATCAAACTCAGGCAGTCTGATTTCTGAATCTGTCCTCTGACAAGGATAAGCCTGAAGACACAAGACTGGAGGCTGGGGGTCCCAGTGGGGGCTGCTGATACTCTTTGAACTCGAACAGCAGCAGTAGAGAGAGAGGAGACTCTGGAAGTGAAATGCACAGGACTTGGGTGCGAAGGAAGAGGTAGCATCGCGGATGAGCCCCTCATGCCTAATTTGGCTTAGGGAACTCGAGGGTGAGTTCAGCTTTGAACTTGCTCCATTTGAGGTGTTTCTGGACATTTCTTTCTCTAGATAAGTCTGTAGCTCAGAGGAAAGGATTGAGGATCACAATTTGGGAGTCATCGGCTTAGAAGGGGTGAGAGGAGATCTCCCAGGAAGGGAGTCTAGATGTGAAACTCAGTGAGATGAGGCTAGACACCTGGGTCACGTCCACATTCAAAGGGCAGGTGGAATAAGAAGTGTCTGGATGGAGACAAAAAACAGGTGGAGACGTGAGGAGAGCGAGAAGAGGGTGGAGTCATGGAAGCAAGAGAGTGGAGAGACTCAGGAGGAGGGAGGGACCAGAGAGGCAAATGCAGCAGAGAAGGCCAGGCAACATAAGGGCTGGGACAAGCCCATTGGATTCCCGACTTAGCAGGTGACCAGCAGCTTTAGGCAGAGTGGGGTCAGTAGGTTGATGGGACGGAAGCCAGCCTGCACTGGGTTGAAATGTGAAGAGAGGGAGAGCAGAGTGAAAAATAATGGTCAATGCGCATCAACCAGTCTTTTTAGTTTTAGTAAGTTTGGTGAAAGGCAGGATAGCATTTGTATGGTGGCTAGAAGGGACCAGGAAGGTCGACACAGTTTTATTTGGTGCGGTTTGGATTTGGGTCACAAGAGCTTTAAGCCTGCTTGTTTATAAGTTGAGGGGAGGTGGAAGAGAAAGTGAAGATGCAAGAGAACACAGGATGTCTCCTGGAGGGAAGGTGATGGGATCTTCAAAGGCCAAGGGCACAGGAGGAAAATCTGGAGGTGACTAGTAGAGACACCTCATTCTCCGAGCCTTCAGGCAAGAAATTAAGAATGGCTGTGGGAGCAAGCAAAGTCTTACCTGACAGCTTTTGAGAAACATGAGGCAAGATTGTCTATGAAGTAATGTGAGGGGTGTAGGAGTTGAGTGAGGAATTTGAGAAGAAGAGAAATTAGAACAGGAAAGGAAGCTGACAGAGGACAAGATTTAGGGCACCAGAAGTTAGGACCCTGCGTTTCTGGCGGTGTCAGTCTGCCCAGCAGTGTGATTCTTTACCACTTCTCAGCTCTGTGGGTTGGAGCACAGCAGTTCAATTATAGTTTCAATCGGAACTAGGACTTCACTGTATGGGTGCAGCAGCAGAAGGGTAGAATTGCAAGCAAAGTGAGGGGGCAGGTGAGAGAGTGGTTCAGACAATCACCCATGTGCTCCAAGCTGGGCAGGAAAGGGAGGAAGAGATCTGAGTGGGGTGATAGACCAGAAGATAATGGAGAAACGAGGAGACTGAAGTTTTGGTAAAAAGGCAGATATAATGGGACTCAGAAATCAAAACATTCCTAGTGAAGAGGAGGCTCATGGCACTAGCCTCGGGTGTGCACAGATGCGGAGGAGCACAGATGAAGGTTCTGGGGGTTGTGGCCATCAAGAAACTGAGACGTGAGTTTGTCACCCTGGGTGATGGTGGAAGTGGAGTGTAGATAGAAGCCTAAGAGCTCAGTGGAGGTGGTGGAAGGACCGGAAGGTCAGCAGATGACAAAGAGGAAAAGGGCCAGAGCAGATGGTGCCAGAATTTTTACAGGACTGGAGGATGAATGGCCTGGACACAGCACTGGGGAGGGAGGAGACCAACCCAAGAGGGAAATGTAAGGAATGTCATGAAAACAAGATTTTGGATTCTTAGTCTAGCGCATTTCCTTGAAGTCACATTTGATTCCCTGACGATCCGTTGCTCTGTTCTCCTTTGTCTCCTCAGACATTCCGCATTGCACCCTCGATGTGCATCACTAAACCAGAAGTTGATTTTGCAGTGGAAGTATTCCGTTCTGCCTTAATCCAACACATGGAGAGAAGAGCTAAATAAATATATTTTTAATTAAAAAAAACAACCCAGAGCCTCAAGAACTTCCCACTCATGTTTAAGCATTAGTTTGAGAAATTCCAGAGCCCCTGGTATATGTTATAAAAGACATGGTTGACTGCCTACCAGCCATGTTTGTAAATGGAGCCCCTATTATCTTGAAAAATCCATCTTTGAGGAAAAGATCTCCATCCCTAGCTCAGAGAATAAATCCTAATTAGCCTAGGTTAGTTATGGTCATTTGATTCCCCTATGATATGTGACATGATTCCTGAAGGAAGCCCCTTTGGTGGAGATGTTTCAGGGGAAGGTTTCTTCATCTTTCCCTCTCAGTCTCCTAAAGTGATGTCTTCTTCTTGCACTGAAACATCCTGCGTCATGATAGAACTGCTCCAACCATGCCAGCCACTTTGCAGCCATGAAGACAAAGCTTATTTGCTGAAGCTGGAAGATGGAAGGAAGCCAAGTCCTTAGTGATGTCAATGTGCCACTGACTTAATCAATCCTGGAGCTACCATACCTTGGGGCTTCTTGTTAAATGAGATAATAAATTCAATGTATTGCACAAGCCTTTTTGATTTCAGTTTTCTATTACTACAGCCACAAGCATCCTGAGGAACAGTGCAGAAAATACCCCAGGTAGATAACTGTCCTCTTCTTTAACTCCCTTTAGATGTCTATCAGAGCCTTCTCTGTGTTCACTGCCATCAACCCAGCCTGGACTAAACCCTCCTTACTCCTATTGCAATAGTTTCCAAGACCAGAATTTCCCAAACTTTAGTCATTAGAATGCACATGTATAGTGTTTTTCCCCATTAGTGTACACCACCTGTGTTAAAATTGACTTAATATTTTCCCTCAATTTGACTTTTTTTACTTCGATGTATTTGATAGTAACATTACTATAATTATAATAAATGAGAAATCAGTGCCACTTGTCACAACTGAAAAGTGATCAAAAAATAGAGCTAACACAAAGCAATGTAATTCAGTTCTAGCAAGATACAGTTGCTGGCAGATATTCTGAACCTAAGGCTTATTCTTTGTTCAAAAGGGAGCTTAGAGACTATCTGAAGAGTGGTAAAAGATACTGGCCCAGCCACTGTGTAAAACAGTATGGAGATTCCTCAAAAGACTAGGAATAGTCTTACCATATGACCCAGGAATTCCACTCCTGGGCATATATCCAGAAGGAACCCTACTTCAAAA